AGAGAGAGAGAGAGAGAGCGAAAGTGATAGAGAGAGAGAGAGAGAGCGAAAGTGATAGAGAGAGAGAGAGAGAGCGAAAGTGATAGAGAGAGAGAGAGAGAGCGAAAGTGATAGAGAGAGCGAGAGCGAGAGCGAGAGAGAGAGAGAGAGAGAGAGAGAGAGAGAGCGAAAGGACAGTGTTACCTTGGCAGGTCTTGCTGTCGTCAGTCAGTCGGTATCCCGTGTGACAGGTGCACTGGACCAGTCCTCGGACCATCTGACACTTCTGGGAGCAGCCGCCATTGTTCTGGTTACAGTTGCCCTCACTCGAGCGCGGCCCTACACACACAGCAGGAACATTGCAGGAACATCAACACAGCGTGCTGAGTCAGGATAAATGTGACACACAATCTGTAAAAGCATCTGGTTAATCTGATGTGGAACCTGAAATATTAGAAGGAGTGAGGATCGACCACGTTCAAGTTTATCAAGTACAGGTGTATCTAAAAAATTGAATACTGTGATATGGTTCAATTTTGTTGTCAGTCCATTCAGAAAGTGAAACTTTATATTACACAGATTCAATACAAAGATTGAAATATTTAAAGCCATTATTTCTTGTAATTTTGATGATTATGTTTTACAGTCAATGAAAAAACAGCTAGTCAGTGTTTTAGATCTGTCTCAGCCTGAAATATAAATATCTAATTTCAATGATTTTATTATTTTTATTACTTAAATTTTTTTTTGCTTAAAAACTCTACACTACTGTTTTTTTAATTGAAATAATATATATATATATATATTTTTTTTTTCTGTAAATTGAAAACTAAAAGGCATTTTCCTCTTTTAGTATGCCCTCTGAATCAACATCCACATCCTGTTCTGTTCTCCGGGGCTCAGAGCTGATGCTTGGTTCTGTTGGCCCAGTCAGAGGGATTCTAGACCTCCTTTCTGCGCAGAGTCAGACCTCCTAGTGAGGCTTGGTCTTCTCTTTCCCTCTTTCCTCATCTAAAACAAATCATTATCACTTTCTTAATCAACAAAGTCCTCACTCAGATCGTTTTTCTCCTTCATGATCCTCTCCTCTGTCTGAGAGGTTCTGACTTGGAGGTTCTGTCCTCCTCTGGATCTGCAGCTCACTCTGCTTCACGTTCAAAAATTGCATTATTGTTTTTACTCAAACACAATAAAACTGACTAAACTAAACACACTAAACCACACTGACTATAAGACTCAAACATGCTAAATATCACAAATCTCTCAAACCTCGTGGCTCACTCCCGCTCACGCTGACTTTACCATGCTGAACTTCATTCAACTTCCACGTCTTATTCTTTTCCTTCCTGTGGATTTTTTGGCACTTGACAAATAACTTCAAACCTCTATCGGGGGGGGGGGGGGGATCTGTTCGGCAGGGGTGGGAGGTGAAAGTGGATGGGGGTGGCGGTGTTTGGTCCCTGAGACTGCCCGTCTTTGCCACAACCTCTTGCTCTAACGCACTTCAGATATGACAATGATTTTCAGAAAAAGATGTGGCATGGATTATTTTATACATCATAACTCTGGTTTTACTTGTCCTATCAACATGATTCAAAAACTGATGTGTAGCTTAAAGTCTATACTTCTGACAAATTAAAATGTTTCTCCTAGGGCACTCGCCTTGGGTGCTTGTCTCAACGGTTTTCGTTGGAGGGACTGAGAGAAGTGCTAGTGTGCTTGCTTAGAACTACGTTAAGAGTTGTTGTTCATGGGTTCATGTGTTGGGGGATTGGGTGTTTGGGGGCGTGACCAGTGGCCCCTAAGAGGGGGTAGTTTGACCCAGCCTAGGTGTCTAGTGTGCTATGTGTTTTGAGAGATGTCCGAATGAGGGGTGGGTGTAGTATTTCTTCTGGGGTGGGGACGGGGTGGATGTCCTTGGGGGCGGCCCGGGACTGTGCATGACCGACTGGCTGGCCCCTTTCCTGTGGTGGGGGCTAGCTCCCGGTGCTTCCTGGCTCTGTCGGCGGTTGGGCGGGCGCTCTTGGCCGGGTCGTCCTGGTGGGGTTTGGCTTCATCTGGTGGCGGGCTGACTGCGGTTTGTGGGGGTCCTGGCGGCCCTCGGATGTGTGGGCTGCTGGTACTGCTTCTGGCGGCCCTCGAGGCTCTGTCCCTCTCTGGTCTGGAGCTCAGCGGGCCTGGCGGTCGGTCCAGATGGAGAGGTGTCTTGGCCTCAATCCCTGGGTGGACCTTGGGGGGCTGGGGGGGGGGGGGCTGTTGGGTCAGTGGGGGAGCTGACTCCCTGTGGGAGCATTTGCTCTCACAGTTATTTCTCCCCATCCCTCACCATGCACCTCCACCCTCTTCATTTCAATTCCACACATTTAGGGTTGTTTGGGCTCGGGTGTGCTGCAACAATTTTACATCTCTGTTGACCATAGACACCTGGGACTCAATTTTATTGTACACCTTAGACATTCATTCATAACATCCTCATGACATTCACATATAGGAACATGAGGTGGGCACATGGCTATGGGTGGTGGGATGACCTTACTCTCACCCCCTGTGCCTGTGCTCACTTACAACGGTTGCATTTAGACACTAGGGTTTGGATAGAGTTGGGGTGGAGGGGAAACTGGCATCATGCCAGCCTTTGCTCCTTCTTCTTTCCTTTTTAATGGCACTACACAACAACACACATCAACAGCACATCACAGGGCGGGGGTGTATGTGTCGGGGTCTTATTTTATTTATTTTTTCCTCACCCCCCTAGTTCCCTAACTGCCATTCCGGGGGTGGGGTCCGGGAGAAGGGCAGGCCGTCGGGTGTTGACCAGGACTATATGGGGGTTCGGGGTCTAGGGGATTGCCATGGGCGGTGCTGGCGCTGTGCTCTCCCTGGGGTTGTTTGGACCCCCTGAGCTTGGCTCTTGGGTGCCATGGTTGGCCCGCTGGCTGGGGTGGCTGCCGGGGCCTGGCGGGCGGTCGGCTGGGGGCGGGTGCTTGGTTGTTGGCAGTGTGTGGGGGTGGTCGGTGGCGTGTCCTCTTCGTGCCGGGGGGTGTCCTGTCGGCTGGGCGTGGCCTGGGCCGGGTCTGGGATATTGGCTCCTCTCCGCTCGAGAGTGAATGGGTCTACCTCCTGGGTTTGGGCATGGGCTGCCCCCTGTAGAGGGCGGGTAC